AAACCCTAGACCCCAAACCCCAGTCATCCCCTTCAGACCCAGTTAAGCGTTTTTTCTACCCCTCGGACTCAGGGTTTCAGGTTTAGGGTTTAGGGTTGAGGGTTTAGGGTTTAGGGGGTTAGATCCCCGATATAGACCCTTCGTGACCGCTATGTAATCCTTTCCCATCTCCCATTTGCTTCTAGGGGATCTAGTTTGTAGACCCCTTTGGGGTTTGGGAACCCCTGCCGAAGGTCCATCAGGACTTCAAAGGCCAGATGATAAATCTATGCACCTAGCAAACTTGAAGTGCAGTTTTTCATGTGCATAAACTGCAACTCAGCTGCACAGAGTTTCTGGAGAAAGCCACTGCGGTCGGGGCGGTGCTTGATGGCACAACTCAGCTTGCAGAAAATTTCTTTGACTTAGGGTTTAGGGCTTAGGGCGCGCAGGTGGCAGCACATGGAGCGCTGCGCCTGTTCTTGCATTCACTTCTTTGGGAGGCGACAAGCAGGAGACCAGCTTTCAGCATCTGCAAGGCATTAAATTATTACTATTCTTACTATATGTCTGTTCTTCTTATTGCTCTTTGACTGTTATTGCTATTATTAACCCCTATTTGTGTCCAACCGAGTAGCTGGTAGTGGAACTTGAAATCCTCGAACTGCCTGAGGCTCGTGCCGGCTACTCGATTCCCATGACGTGTCTCATGCTGATTTTTCCCGCTGATCCCGTTAGCAGAGCCTACAAGAAGCCGCCATGGGGCCACCCTTGGTTCCTCAAACCCTGACACAATTGGACATGAAATACAATTCGAGACTAAGAAACCACCAATCCAAAGCCTGAAGGGTCCAGACTTCAGTTCATTGCCTCAACTCTGCAGGTGGAAACCTAAACACCAGAATCGCCATACAAAGCGGTGCATGGCATTGCCTATGTCATCCCTAGGGTGTGCCTATATGATCATACAGGTCACCTGGGCAACAGCCTACTTCTCATGCACACTGCTTCGAACATATCGGTGATCTCTACGTGCACCTTCAAAAACCCTGCCTGCAAAATGTCTGAGCTATAGTCTAAACTCCTAGTATGCCCCTTAGTAACCCCTATAATACTCCCCCATATAATCCCCTATATAACACCGTTTAAGGAGTTTAGACTGTAGCTCATCTAGGCCTGTCCTACTTTCCAGAGGCTTCCCTGCAAACCCATTTGAAAGAACTTGCGAGTTTCTCCAAATAGGGGTGCTCTTGGGTGCCCTTTTAGCAGACCCCAAACCCCAAACCCTATACCCTAAATAGTGGTTTTTTTTCTTTTCCATTATCCCTCTATAACCCCTCTATATGTATACATATACACATTCGTATATATTTATATATGTATACATATCATACAATTCCTGTATAAACCCTGTATATGACCCCAAACCCTAAAACCCTAAACCCTAAACCCCTAAACCCCTAAACCCCTAAACCCTAAACCCTAAACCCTAAAACCCTAAACCCTAAACCCTGAAGTGATACCTACCGCCAAGGTACAGGTCCTGGGGCCTCAACAGGCCCAAGAGGTCCAGGAGACGTGGATCTTGAATCTCCCTGCAGCTGTTTAGGGTTTAGGGTTCAGGGTTTAGGATTTAGGGGTCAGGGTTCCAGGTTTAGCGCTTCGGATTCAGGGTTTAAGGCTTAGGGTTTAGGACTTAGGGTTTCGGCTTAGGGTT